GTCTATATGCAATCAGAAAATACCACATAAAAGCTCCCAAAGACCCCCTAAAAGCCAGTTTTCGGCATGCTATAGAGACAAAAAATCTGGACAAAGCGGATTCACGCAGTTTGAACGCACTAAAGATGGGGTTTGTGCTTCTGAAAGGGTGAATAAACAGAGCTGCAACTGTATACTGTACGTGCTAGCTGGCGTGGCACAAAAGACCCCGTGGTGGAAAGTATAAACAACGAATTAGCCTGTCAACACCATGTATCGCAATGGTAAGGTACGACTAGCCTCTACCAGGCTTCGGGAGGCGGCTGGAAAGAGTAGAAAACGGCCAAATAGAGAGATAACATGCCAAGGAGTTGGTCTGCTGGAGGGTACATTTTGCCGCAAACTGTTTTCTCCAGCAGACCAACTCCCCCTGGCATGCTTATCTCTCTATTTAGCCGATTTATACTCTTTCCAGCCGCCTCCCGAAGCCTGGTAGAGGCTACCGTATTTCACAATGGTAAGGTACAACTGGCATAAGACTCTAACAGGCACAAAAATACACTATTTGATGAATATGATGCGTATATGTACTATATAGAACGTGTGCGACCAATCTTTCACATACTTCAGTCGAGAGAAGACCACTAAGTTACACTTCGTATTTTCAAAGAGATTTAATTTAAAACCTCCTTGGTACTTTTATTTATCCATTTTTTTTTAATTCTTGCGGTTTTTTTTCTTTGAATGTCTTCAGAAGACCATTTCAACAAAAAAGGTGTTAGGTGACGTCACGGGACCACGCCCAGACTTAGATCTTGTAATGAGCCTAGATTTGAGATAATGACGATAATTACCTCACCTCTTTGTTGTCTGCATAATTTCTCGCCTGACTGCACCACTCTTCACCTTAGAGAGCTTTCCACACAGTAGGGACTTTCAGAAAGGTGGAGAAGGACAGATATCTTCGGGATTTGTGCGGATTCGGTAGCCTCTACCAGGCTTCGGGAGCTGACCAGAAAGAGTACAAATCGGCTAAATAGAGAGATAGCATGCCGGTGGAGTTTGGTCGGCTGGGGAGAACAGTTTGCCGCTCCCTCTCCAACAGGCCAACTCCCTTGGCATGCTATCTCTGTATTTGGCCGATTTCTACTCTTTCCAGCCGCCCCCCGAAGCCTGGTAGAGACTATAGATTCGGACGGACAACACTGGGAACTTGAAATTTGCTAAATCATTTTCAAACATTTAGCAGAAAAAAATTCTACATTTAAACCTAGCACCTACAACTAATTTCGCATGTTATCTTAAAATGTCATTCTATATATATGGGAAAGGACACCATAATCTTTATCTCATTGAAATCAAACAAACTAATACATTTTGATAAACATACAATTACAACATGTTTGCTACACAGTAGAGATTTCATAAAGATATCTTCAGAGCGCACTGGGGACTCAAAATTTGAAACAAAGTCACCTTCACAGCACATCGCGTAAAGATTTACGTGTACCCTTCAACATAAGTGCGCGCGCGTAGACTTGAAATGCCGTTCGAGCGAGTAGGACATCAATTTTTATTACATCTTAAGCAAGCAAGTTGCCTGCTATGAGGCTATTATGATCAAAACAGCAGCCGTAGTAGAGCCTGATATTGAGGCTATACAGAGAACAAGTCGTTTGTTTGTCTCTATAGATACAGAAGAAAACATCCCCTTTAAATGTACTAATGACATGTTAGAACATGTTTCTTTCGTGTCAACAGATCATTACATCGTTTCCCTTGGGTGCGTCTCCGAAAAGTACCGATCTCGCACGAGCTTTCACGAACATTGGCGACGTGGGGACCGAAGAAGCGCCACCATGGGCGAGTTACGGTACTGCAGTTACAATATGTGTCCGTTATTATGTTATCAATCTCATTAAGTCTATACATTCAAACCGCTAAGAACACCAACAAGCTGTCCAACTGTCTGACAAACGCGTCCAAAGGTTGCTTTGGTGGTGGTTCATAGCCTCCACCAGGCCTTCCTAAGGGGGGTATGGATCGGCAAAAATTCGGCAAAAATAGGGACAGCAATGAGTCTACAGTAAGGGTAACATTTTCTTTTGGAAGTGTGGGAAATGAAACCCTATGGTCCAATGGCAAGTTATTATCCTTGTATCTGTAAATTTTACTATTTATCTGCAAGCGTTGTCAGTCTCTATTTTGAGTTCAGTAAATATTTGAGCTTAGGCTTGCAATGAGAAAGACGTGAAAAACTCAATTATTAACCCTAGTTAGTATCAGTATGCCCCGGATCTGACCTACTATAGTATACATGTGTGTGTAACGACTTGAGCGTTAGAAAAGCATTTCTTAAAAGTCTTTGGGCTTCTGTCAGCAAAAAGGCTAAGTCTTTAAGTCATGTCTGCCGAAGAAAGTTCTCCAAGGAAGTCTGCAGAAGACGCTAGAACCGAGAAGGTTGGGTTCAGACGCCCCCGCTGGCGAGTAGTTCTGGCGGTGTCGTGTGTGGTGGCGGCGG